AAGAGGGATCTTTGATTAATTTTCTTTATTCTTGAATGATTTCCCTAGAAGAAAATGCTCTAACATTGCACATTATGTTAAAATCTATCCCCCTTTCTTTAGGTCAATCATTTTCTTAATGTACATTTGAAAGGCATAGTTATAGATTTAAAAATACATCAATCATTGACTAGAAGCTGCAGCACAGTCACTGCAATCTCCACAGAAGTGCAGAATTAGGAATMTACAATCAGTTTAACCAAGTTTAACTCCAACAGATTCCCAGCAGTGTGGACAGGGATGTTKTACATGTGTAATTTGCCGGCACCCCACCAAGACTGTCCTCCACGTCACTTCAGTTACAAAAAGTGCACTTCTACAGTCTCATACAGGAAATTATAAACGTTAACAACCACGTAAGTATGAAAAATGCTAAATACAAACTCAAGCAAATGCTTGGCAGCTTCCTCTTTTGACTTAGTGTATCTTTTTTCTATTCTTCTGCAATACTTTCCACCCTCTGCTGCCAAGTACGTTACAAACTTGCTTTTCAGTCCCAAACACCAAGGGCTGAAAGCCCAGACCAAATATTCCTTTGGAAATTTGTTCTAAAACAGCTAGGTAAGTCTGAGCAAAACTAACAGATTTTGCATGCAGAGTTCTTGGTCACATCCCTCTTGACACTTTAAATGTGGCTGAGTTCACCCCCAGGAGCAGCCTCAATGATTTCAGTGGAGCCACACTATGCAGATGGGYTGTGCTATTAACGCAGGATGAACATCAGGGATTTGTTGCCACTCACAGCAGGTCAGAAAGCAGTTACCCTACAGCACCTTCCCACTGGAACTCAGCACTGAAGGGACAACTCTACTGATGCTCCCGTTCCACATTTTCTCCAGAAGGTAACAAAAGCACACTGAARTATAYGAGTTAAGCACTTTTGATAATTTCYCTGACTACTGAACAYAACCTACTCCAAATAGGTTAAATAAGTCCCTTTCTTATATTACTCATTGTTTAAGTGACARAACATTTACTATTATTTGGGAAACAGATGCTTACTGACAAACCTTTTGTTACACCGTGGAAAAGAAGAGAGAAAAAAATACATCATAAATCTAGAAAGCCAGAAAGTGGCACAAGTGAGCTCTTCAAGCTCACTTCTCCTAGTTAAGCATGAGGTGCACTTCAGCTGGCTCCATATAGACAGAGCAGGGCCAAAACCTCAGAGGAAAAAAGCCAGCACATAGCAGTGACAAGCCAGCCYTATAGCACAGGCCTGCCCACCTGGAGCAATGCTTTAACTCAGYCAAAATGGAAGAGTCCTCAGAGGAGTCCTTTTGAAGGGAATACATTAYAACCACCAGTTCTACCCAGAAACTACTTTTATTAAGAGTGGTAATTGACTACAGTTTCATTTATATTTTGATCTACCTCATTCATCCATCATCTGTTCTGCAGCTGGGGTCTCAGGAAACAAATAGAAATTAAAAAGCAAAAAAAATGTAAGCTTCAGCAGCAGTGAAAGATAAGGACAAAGAAATTACCTCGAAAACACAGAGCTTTTTACTAATGCATTTTTAAAGACTGATCAGGGATCAGCCTGAAGGTTTTTGAAGAGAGTTCTACAACTGCACACATTGCAAGYAACTGAATTTTGCTTTTTCTATTATATGTTGTTTATCAAAATTGTTAACTGCTACTTAGAACAGCTGTATTTCCACATCACTTAAAATTGCTTCTCCCTTCTAGTAATTTAGCTCCAATGATTCATGTGGTTGCTATAGCCATACTTCATTGAGAAAAAAAACATTCTTTAGGTAGAAGACCAAAAAAAAGAAAATGAAACAGCAACGAAAAAGCCTATTCCATTAAACTCTGAAACTTAAACTCTCATTGTTTAGAAGAGAAAGAATTATTTCACAATGCTATTTGCATATCAAAGAACGACTCCAGGAATGCCTGATTATGTACACAGAACCCGCCAGCACAGCTCAGTTCTTACTGTTCAAGGACTGYTCCAAGGCCCTTCCTCAGGCAACTTCTTCATTTGATGGGAAGTCACTGACACATTGTTGGAGAACTGCAAATGCATTTCCTTGCTAAATCTTTGGTCTGTCCATATTTTAGGAGTGGGGATGGTGACAGAAAAGCACGTGATTTCAGCGAGATTATTTTCAAAGCAGGTTTAGCAAAAAAAAGAGTACACATTTGCAAAAGTGTCCCTGAACTCGTAGCTTTTTCCCACTACTTTAAAAATCAGTTTCTAAACATCAAACCCCCAACCCCAAACTGATTTGGCATGTTGTAAGTTTACAAATCTAGTGATGCAATAAGCCATTATTGCTTCAGGTTTTATAATTCAGAGATTTCTTTAGTGGAGGGAGAGAAAAAAAAGTATGCCTTGCTATGATGTAACTCATCATACATCTGTTCATATGTGAACCTTTACAGCCATTATTATCTAATCATGTATCAGCACCTCAAGAGCTACGACCCATGGTCCTTCACAAGCATTTTAAGCAACGAAACAGACCCTTTGTTTCTGTGATTCAGGGCTYAACTAAATCTCAAAKCTCAGAGAGATCRACATGAACTTCACAAGAAATAGATAAACAAAAAAGCCATGTGGCCRAAGCTGCCTGTAGTAGCATGTTTTGAAAGATTTAGATAGCTCTCCATGAAAACAGGGATTCAGTGACTCAGGAATTCTGATTCACCCATGTCCTCCCAGTTCTCTTCACCACCATAAGAAAGTTGTGTGACATTTCTATTCACTACACGCCTCCCAACAGGTTTATTTAACAGCTCTGTCAGGTACACTAATGGGAAGGACAGAGGCTACACCCTCCTGATCAGCAAGGCTACAGCTCGGCTTTGCTACAAGGAACACAGAGCAAGGAGGTGCTTTATGTCCACGCTACTCCCTGCAGGAATGTAGGATTTGGTCATGACCTTGCTCTACATCAGTGTCTCTATCATCCCTCAATAAAACCACTGCAGTAACCTTCATTCAGAAGGTTTCTAGTGTTTGGGTTGGATAATTCATACGAACACCAAGAATAAACAAAATTATAACAGCAAATATTAATGATTAATAATGAGAGATGAACTTCTTTCAGAAATACTACAGGAAATTTGTCTTGTGATTTTAAACATTTCCTATCTGCTAAAGGTTGGAAAGATGTTTTGTTGGCATCCAGTGATTACACCATAAGGTTTTCTGCAACGTCTTCAATGTCTTTCCCAGTAGTATCAGACTGGGAAAAAGACCATGAGGTACTAGAAGACCCTAACAAAGGGTTTCCTCCAGTTCACTTTCTTTGAAAGAAAGGAATTAAGAGGAGCAAAAGAAGAATGCTACAAAGTGAATTCAAATGAACTAGTATGACTTACCAAGAAGAAATAGCAGCACACTTCTGCTCACAAAGTTTAGTCACAACTTCTGGTTTTCTTGAGTGTATTTAATACTTCAGCATGTATCAGTAATTAAAAAATACAACTATTGGTATAGTGCTACAGTTACATTACACCAATCTACAACTGCATTGTCACCAAATGGGATGGACCAACWATAGGTGTCTCAGAAAGTACATACACTAGTAAGCATGTTCARMTCAGGGCAAAGTTTGTGAAACAGAGAAGCCAATGTAAAAGTTCCCTGCTGCCCTAAGGAGGTCTTACTCTCCACTGCCTTACTCYAGCCTTGCTTCTGGCAGTGAAGTTTCCTCTCTCTACTCCCCATAAGCTTTAGTAGGTTTCACACCCGCTGTGATGCTGACACAACTCACTAACCTGGCAGGGAACCATCCAGTCTCTTCTGCCAGGGCACCCAGCTCAACAACACACGTCACAGTCACCAAAAAACCAGTGGGAGAAGCAGCCAGCGACAAACTGGCAGCAGAGACAGGAGCAAAAGAGGGAAGAACAGGAACTCCAACTTCTGCCAAGGGTAAGCCATTCAACCAACCTTCCTTCTCCAACTTCCTCTACATCCCAGAACCACAGGATTGCTAAAGCTGACACAAAGAGGAGGCGTGAACATATGGCCAGAGAGCAGAGAAAGAGCAGTACTATTTCCCTCAACAGCTAGAGCTCACCACAGAGCCACAGGCACTCCAGATATGGGCTCAGCATGGGACAGGAGGGGCACAGCAGTGACACATCACGTCACAGAGCTGTTTTCATCTCCACCAACTAGTAGGGTAATATCAGGCACAGAAAGTGGGTGTATGTAGGCACAGACCAGCCACACATCCTACAGAGAGACACAGCTGTGTTGAGAAGATACAACAGTGTAATTTCCATATATATATATATATATATATATATATATGTAGTGGGTAAAAACATAGGGAAAAACTACCGGGAAAGTTGTCTGATGTAAGCAAACAATGATAGACAACTCGAGTAAGGAAAAACAAAAGAATGCCTTGCTCTGACAACAGGAAGTAAGATGATACTGAGCTTTTTCRCTGCTGGCACCCCAACAGTGCCACACCGAATACGGACCACGCAGCAGACGCAGGCAGGAGACAYTGGGAACTGAAGCGTGAGCACAACTCTGAAGAACCGAAGACAGACCACCAAAGAGTTCATCCTCCTGAGCCTGAGTCTCAGCTGACACTGCTTCGGCTGACGAGCATTGCCCGCACCACCGGCCGCAACCATTCACCCGCATCTCCTCAAAGAAGGGTGACCCCAGCAGTAAGCACTGCACACCGCGCCCCAACGAGCCCCAGACCACGCACACGGCTCACCCAGTCCCACGTACCACACATGCTGCCCCTTTTCCTTSCACTTTCCACATCCTCCACCTTCCTCCTCAGAGCCCCCACACCCCAGCAAGACGCAAAACAGCCCCTGCCTCCCCTTCTCCTCAGAGCCGGCTGCCCACAGTCGCCGTCACCTGTCACCCCCAGGGCCCCCACAGCCCGGCCCGCCCCGAACACACCCGGCCCCGCTTCCTGTTCCCCGGCACGACCCCGGCCCGGCCCGGCCCGGCCCCTTCTCGGCGGCACCTGAAGCGCGGAGAGTCCTTCAGGCACTCCTCGAAGTCCACGGTCACCTTCATGGTGGCGGGGTGCGCCGCTGCCTCCGCTACTGCGGCTGCTGGCRGTGGTGGCGCGGAAACCCGGGGCGAGGCGAGGCCGGGCCGGGGCCGGCGGGCGGGGCAGGGCAGGGCGGGCCGGGGGTGGTGTTCGGGGAGGGGGTGGTGGCGGGAGCGCCCTGTGCCCGCCCCGCCCGGCCGCGACTGACGGCCCGGGCAGCCAGCAGCGACAGCCCGCGAGAGCGGGGGGCGCGCCGGCCAATGGTAACGCGAGAGGGGCGGGGTCGGCAGGGAGAGCGTCCAATGAGCGTGGCCGCCCAGGAATGGCAGCCAATCGCCGGCACCGCAGCGCYTGSTCCCACCCCAGGGYGCTCAGAGTGACAGCCGCASCCGCCAATCGGCAGCAGCATCGCCGCGACTGCCCGGATCATTGGGGCCCGCGTGCGCTCGCCGCCGTGACACTGCCGGGGCGGGACGGGCCGKGTGGCACCGGGCCCTGCTCGCCCGGTCGTCGGTACCTGCTTGAGTTTTTTTTTTTAACTAAAGCTCTTCATTAAACGGGGCACCCTCTTCCTTGGGGGCGAGATGCGCGGGAGGCCCGGCCCTGACCCCGCCTGAGCAACTGAAGYCCGGTCAGAGCGTCCCGAGCCCCTCAGCCCGGCTACGCCTTTCAGCCTTGGCCCCGCCCTTCGGGCCCGGCGAACCGCGCAACGTCCGTGCGGCGCCGGGAACGGCGGGGCGGGCACTGCCATGGGAGAGCACCGCGGGATCGCACGGACACACGGGACACACGGTGGCAGACGCGGACTCGTGGGGACATACTGGCTCACACGGACACACGCGTTCCCGCCGGCAGCCAGTGGCCCTGCTGAGTGAGGGTGCCACCAGCAGGAAGAAAGCTCGGTCTCCGGGTGCTTTCCAGTGTGATTCACTTCTAGATCGAGGAAGTAACTCYTGGGGGAGACTCAAGGGTGCCTTTGATTGAAGATGAAATGCAAACCGCAGGTTTTCCTGTTAAGGACTATCAAGTGTGCGTGTCTGGGTTTCTTACCGAACAAAGGTCCGAGAATACTTTTTGAAGTAGTSTCATATTTTGAAGTAGATTAAATCCGAGTGAACAGGACCATGTTGGTCCTCTCCAGTTTGCAGTGAAGGCCAGCAGAACGTTGTCGATTTCTGATCCATTAAGGGAATGCAGAATACAATCTTCAACCAGTTAGGTGCTGCTTATTGTTCCCAGATGTAAAACTGACAGACAAAGGAGCACCAGGCATTCYCGATTCTTCCTGAAAGGCAGCAACTGAGAAATAAAAGTTTCTATCCAAGYTAAACTTGTCAAAGATGAAGCAGTCACAAGTCTCAGGTTCCTGTTCACTCTTGGCTCCTCCAGGAGTTTGAGGAGCTGCCATACGTGCTTCCAGCAAGCCCACTTATCCCCTGCAGCTTTCACACCCACTCTCACTCCAGCATCTGCACTAAGTTTCACCTCTTTTTTATCTTTCCTTTTTTTTCTGATTCTTCCCATTCTGTCTCCCCCACTTCTTTTCAGTGTTACAAGGAGAAACAGTCAACATGGAAGGATGGAGTGGAACATAACTCCAAGAAGCTGAATGCCTGTCGTACCCTTACCGTCCCTCCCTCAGTTAAGGTGTCCTTTCAGAGAGGCAAAGGAGCACTTTTTGGTTCAGTCAGTTGTGGTTGAGGGATGTCAGGTTTTTTTCCCTTTTTGTAAGATTGGGGAAATGTCAAACCAAACTACAAGTTACACAGATGTAACGACTATATTTTTGTAAGCTGTAAGCTATCCCTCACCAAAACTAGCCAAACTACCACTATTTTGATTAAGGACTGAAGTCACACCCACTCAAGAAAAGCAGCATGTTACGAAATATTTGTATCACTGAGGCTGCATTTATGTAGCCACGTTTCAACTAAAGTATGCAATTGAAGAGCCCAGCTCTGTTTTGAGGAAGAGTTGTACTTCCTAAGGAGTTGTTGGTATTAGTCATTTTCCATCACTCAGTGCTGGTGAGTGATGACTCAGTGTTGACCATTAAGAGACAGACCAATTGTACTTAAATCCTACAACWAAGAAAAACACCTTGAAAAATGCAACCTGCTTTGTGTTGCTGCTATCTTAAGTTCATGATTCTGGTTACCAGATATACCYTCAGGTCTAGGCAAGCCAGCAAATCTGACTGTGTGTACAAACTGGTTTACATCAAAGTTACGCTAAATTGGAGTCGTGAGGAAAGTGCAATATTGGTTTGAGAATTTATCTATGAACACACCTGCAAATTTTACTGTAGTAAAARTAGCTGTCACTTTCTTTTGAAGAGCTTCAAGAAGCCAAACATTAGATTAGTATTAGTGCCATAAGGCAGTAATGAAAACAATGGTTTTATTTATGTTGTGACACTTAACACTGRTTTCAAACAGAATAATTACATTTGTGAGGKGGCMTCATARTACCACRAAAAAGCATGTTACAGAAACAAAGAGTGCTGGTAAGATGTACAAGTTTCACAYGAGAGAGTGAGCTGTGGAAAAAGTATCTGCAGTTTCCGTGAACTGTGTGTACAGCTTAGTGGGAAAGAAACTAAGGACAGAAAAAACCCTCCAYAGACATGAGTTAAGGCTCTTACTGGCAAGTGATCTTCCTATTGGAAGCGTATTGAAAATGCTTTCTCTAAACAGGAGGCAGCTTGAGGACTTAAACCTGYGCAAGAAGCTTCACMACTACGGTTCTGTGGAGCTCACTGTCCCCATTAGTAAGTGCTATGTCTGTTTCCTCTTTACACCACTCTGTATTGYACAAATGAGTCTTTACCATATGCACCTAAAAAYTAAGATGTGCATGCAAGCTAAGTCCCATCAAATATAAGAAGAGAAAAAGCATTTCTTCTCRTCCCCCATTCAGAAGGGAACTCTAGCTGATATTCCTTAAGCAGAGAGAAATCAGACATCCCTTTATAAAATAGCTACATAGAGTTTCTGTATTGCAAAGTAAAACTTGCCCAATTTAGGTTTTAAAACCATCGAGGTGAAAGCCTGGAGAAAACCAAGTTAACCAGCCTTTCAATCAGAAGCAGTGTCAGGGACATCAGGTTGCACTCTTGCTGAGGAAGATGAAGCACCATGAACAGATTTTTTGCTAGCACAGCGGGAAATTAAGAGAACAAAGCCTTTAATAAAACCCCAAACTAAAACAAGATTCAAAATGGCATCAAACTTAGAAATTAGRTGCTTGATGACACAGAAAAAGGGAGATCATCAGCTCAAAATCACCTGAGTGATGAAGGGACCTACCATACATTATGCAGTTCATTTAAAACCATCTTCATGCATTTGTATACTGTACCTCCGTCAAAGCTACATACTGATTTTATTCAGGACTTTGGAAGGCATTTCAGGAAAGGTCTTTATTGGAAGTTGGCAAAGTTTGTTTGTTAATCAAAATGCTTTCTAGACCTTGTAAGGTACAAAGTTGCCCTGCTGGGCACCAAAATGGTCTTGGACACAAGAAAGTGGGGGTTAAGGAGGGCAGGACATTAGCCCAGGTAAGAGCTGCTGCTGCTGGTGGATTCCACTTTAATTGCAGGTACAACATACTCATGTGTACTTATCACAAAGTACAAGTGATCTGTTCCACAGCCTCAAAGAACACATCTGTGTTACCTGCACCCACTGGTCCCCACGTCCATGCTCAGAAAGCAAAAAGACTTTGCTGCTGCTCTTGGCAAAGACTCCAATGCCGAGCCAGGGCAGGCCAGGTCAGCGCTGCTCAGTCTGAAATAGAGCTCAGTGCACGAAGGCCAACACTCTGAACACTGCAAGCAGGTATATAAAGGGTACAAACATAAAGTTTCGAAATCCTACTCTTGGGAGCCAAATTGAAAGCTACAGTAAGTGACTTGAGGAGTCAGAATTATCTAAATGCCTACTCTTTGTCCCAGTTTACTCTATAGAGGTGACCACATTTGATACAAGAAATAGCATTCTCCACATTGAAAATTTAGCATCATCACACTGASTGGAATCAAGAGCTCAACTCTTTCTTATGAAAAGATGCTATTAATCTCAATTCAGGACCTTCAAAGATTAACTAACCCACAACTGACAACCCTGTTACCTGCTAAGGAGAGGAGATAGTTGGGAAAGGCACACTACAAAACCTGGTTTGCACAACTCACAGGTATCTTTGGCAATGCCTGAATAATGAATCATTCCTGTAAAAATCTTTCAAAGGACAGCATCCTATCTCCTTATTCATTCAATTTCTCTGGAATTCCAGGAAAGCTCACACTTGAGAATGCATGTAACTGTAAAATAACTTTCATTCCTTTATTCAAACTTCACATATACAGTGGAGAAAAAGACATTTTAAAATAGATCCATATAATTATATGGATTTTTGCAACATATCAAATTCAGATCAAAATTAAGATATACACTGTATTTCAAAACCAAGCTAAAGCTTAAGTGTATACTTTGTGTAATAAAACCCAGGAACTACTCTGAATACTGGAACATTCASCAGTGAAATTCCACCCAGTGGGAAATCTTTACAGCAATTTGGAGGTGCAAAATCCCTCTTTACAGCTATACAACCACACTGTAAACAAGTATCTGAATTAGGCAGTTTCCCTTCTAGCTTCCAAAAAGCCTTCATTTTACAAAAGCAGTTGCTGTAAGTTGCAATGGACACAGGAAGATTTAGACCAGTGGTTTTCAGTATGGAAGTTGACAACCCCAAATGAGTACATCAACATCAGTTATTTTTAATAAAGAACAGCCAGAGCCTAAGCTCAGCACATCTTCACAGTCCTGATGTGTATTTCCTCGTGGCTGGGTGTTTTTCCTCAGGTGCTAACAGCACAAACACTGTTCATGCAACTGGAAAGAACCAAACGTTTGAAACTAGAGCCAGAAGAGTAACAGTGATTTTAAGAGAAAAGCTGGAGGAAACTTGCACRTTCTCACAACAAGCTAAAGAGAGCTCCACAAAACAACCAGTCCTGATGGAAGAGGTTAAGACAGTTAAATGCAAAGTTCAAGTTAGCTGTTTCCAGTGTAAAAACTCCACCAGATGTTGTACTGCTTTAGTCGGAGACTAACAACCGATTCCAAACACCGCTCTTCAAAAATAACACAGCTCTTGTTCTAAAGACTGGGAAAGTGCAGGTAAAAACATACTGAAATCTAGATTAACAGGTCAACACTTTACAAAAAAAAAGTTGCAGGACTTAAATAATCCCTTTTTAAACTGCTTAACACATCTGATAAATAGCTTGCATGTCAATCTGATATATGCTGTACCGTTTGGCTCTTGAATCCCAAAACTTTCCATATGAGACACCACATGTAGAACACTCAAATAAATAGTGATAAACCAAAAGATAGTGAGTGTTTCAAAGCAAAAGTAACAGTACATCACGCAAGATAATCAGCGCTATACATACAGGGAATGCCATTCTGGTTGAACAGATTATGAAGCAGTATTCTCCATTAAATACTAGGCACAAGAATAAATCAATTAGACAGTATTKTCTGCCTAATCGACAAGTCTAAAATTAACATTCTTGGCAATACAACATTGTAACTGATATGCTTCTTAATATTTAAGAGCCTTAGTCGCAAAAATCATGAAGCGATGTTTATATTTGTGTTTTTGACAAGCAGTTACAGTTCTGGACAGATTTCTTCTATGCTGTGTGCTCTATTTTCCAGCTGGTCACGAGTAACATGTGCTGCATAAAAAAGATTACAAAAAACAGATAATTCTTCACACTCATTGAATATTCTCACAACATACACAAATACCCTCCTGAAATCATCTTCGCTTTTCCGAAAATAATGTTTGCCAACCCATCTTAGCAACATATAAGCTTGTAGTTGGAGAGTATGGAAACTTCTAAAATAGTTATTTCACCCTCATGCTCTAAAGAGATGGCAAACACCACTGTTCAGCACACAGAGCACTGAGTGTTCACCACCCCTGGAATTGTGAGGATTTAACTCAGGCATTTAGAAGTAACACATGAAGTTCCCAGAACACCAGCAAACATACTACTTTCTAGTCAAATTTCAGTTCCAGATGAGACACTTGAAATAAAAAAAAACCCTAAGTTTATACATGAAGGAGTACAGTCAGTGGTGTTTTCAGGAAGTTGTTAACTCATGGTTTTGAGTAAAAACAAAGCAATAAATCAGAGAAAACTTTTCCTTAGTGCTTTTCATATGAAAAAGTCCACTCTATCTATCTAGCTAGCTATCACTAAAAACTTAGTGGCAGAAGGCAAAGATCAAAGAATACCCCACTGAAATCCTAATAATCCTTTTAAAAAGCCAGTTAGGCTAGGGAATGAGTTAGATTTGATAATGTGCAGTTTAACAACCAAATAGCACAGTTATCCAGCAGAACTGATTTCTGTGTGCTCCCAGCCTTCTCACTTCTCACATCTTTAGGGTGCTGCTTGCCCTGGTTAAGAAAACAACATAYTCTGTATCTACCAAAGGCCAAAGGGCACACCCAGTCAGTGACAGCTCAGCTGCTGGGTGCTATCTGAGCAGAGTTAGAAGAGCAATGCAGCTAAATGAACCAGAGAGAGAGAACAATAGTCTTACTGCTTGTCAATTGAACTGCTATAGACAACACCCTCTGGCTGATACTTTTGTGTAGCAAAAGACAGGTCTGCACTGAAATCATCATGCTTCAATTTACCTACATATGTTACCTGAGTATTTCCTTCAGTGATTTCAAAGAAAATTTCTAAAGGGAAGCTTTTTATGGAGAGAAACAAAGGTCACTTCTGCTGGCAAAGTCTATTTAAGCTATTCATGGAGTCATAAATAGCAAGTAGCCAGAGAAGCTGAAATGCTGAAACAAGCAAATATGGAATGATAGAATGGTTTGGGTTGGAAGGAATCTTACACATCCAGCTCCAACCTCCCCGCCACGTGCAGCCCCTAACAACTTGTACTTTCCACAAACAAAGCTTGGCTGTCAGAATCCATAGTCATAAGGTATGGCTACTTGAGGCAAGAGAGGAATGATCCATTCATTCCACTGTAACCACAATGAAGACAGGAGCAAAAATACACAAAGAGTTCTCACCATCACTGACTGGACTGGCCATCTTCGTTTCAATCAGCAAGAGATCTCAGTCTGTAACCAAGAAGTGCAACTTGTATTAGTGTACCTCGTGGGATGTGCTAGGAACCTCCTTAAACCTGGCTTAAGTCTTTAGCCCCTTCTTTGACAGCGGAATGTAGAGATCAAAAGAGTACTGTTAGTTTTACTCAAATACAAACCAGACAGAATTAGAGGGTAGAAAGGAACATCACATAAGAGAAGCACAGAATCTTGAAGGGATCTTCAAGGATAAAAAATRTTCCAAATGAGAAGTTCTCAAATTGCCTGAAAAACAACCCAGGAGCCAGTGGAACCTCAGAGTCMCAACAGACCACTAGGAAATGCCTCTTACATCACATCTTTACCTGCAACAATTCTCAGTACTACAGAAGTCATGTTATTCCTTTGGAATAAAAAGACATTGCATGGCAGGTCTCACTCACATAGACTGACTGGCCTAATAGCTGAATGGCAGCCACATCATGATCTCCACAACTTCCCAAGAACCCAAGTCAAATGGAAGAATTTATAAAAATATAGCTATAATACAACACACAGAAAACCCAGGGCATTTTCTTTGAAGTAAAAAGCAAACATCATGGCTGTTAGTCAATTTGACACAGTGAAGCCAAAACAACCAATTGCAAAAATCAACTCCTGCACCACCCAATACAAGAGTAAGGAAGCTTTCCCTTTTCTGCTCTAGACAAAAGCACTTTAAAATACAATTTCAAGTCACAGAGCTCTTTGAAAACTACCCGGGTGAATAATCTTTCTATACACTGTTCTCAGGAACATGAATATTAATAGTATATTGATTTCCTTCCAAGAAGGAAACAACCTCATTTTTAAATATGCAAGTGGTTAATGTAACCAAAAGCACAATGACCAAAAAACCCAAGTAGCAATTGTTAAAGCCATCTATTTGATAAATGTTCTGTAGCTCTAATTAACGCTTATGAATAAGGAGATGCTTCTGTGTCCTCAGAATACAGATGAGAAAGCAATAAATAGATGTAATCTCAAAAAAGTTATTTCAGTAAAACTTTGACATTAACACAGCTATGTGCTGAACATTTCTCATCTCAATGTAGSAATTTCTTAAAATGTGGGCAGTGGCAGAAGACTGGTTTATTAGTGGTTTTGTCCATATCCCATCATCCTTTGTCCAACCCTGTCACATAATCCGTCTGAGGACATTCAATTCACCAGCTGCTACAAAAGTGAGACCACTACTTAACCTCAGAAGAACTGATCAAGGATGGAGATTAAGGGCTGTGATAGTTGATATAGAGATTAGGAGAYAACAAAACATGAAGGTTTAGGCAGAATGACAAAAAAGTGAAGAATTGAGAACTACATCAGGTTAATGGAACGTATTTCTRTATGTTATGGTGTGGAGGTGAACCAGTTAGTTAATGGGTTGCTACACTGGCAGACAGTTACATTTATGGAATCTGTTAGCCATGAGCAATCTAAAATTGATAATTACCAGTTGTGGCTCTGAAGCTGGTTATGAGGAAGGTGGAATGGACTTCAACAATAGAGATGGAAAAATGCTGCAAAGGTCTGCCTTCTTTCCACTGGCGAATGCAGCTGGGGAGCGGAGTTGCCTCTGTTTTACAGCAGAGTGCAGAGAGATGGCAGCTTCAGGCCATGCAGAAGGGTCATACGTTTGGCTCCTGGAGCCCTCCTTTCCCCTGGAGAGTGAAGTTCTAGTAAATAGCCATTTTAAGGCCTATGTTAAGTTACTGGACAAAGTCAGTCCAGTAATGGGTCTCAGACAGGTAGTAAATGACCCTTTTGGAGCAATTGTGAAGGAATTAGTCCTGTAATAAATAACAGGACGAGAAGGTGCAATCCACAGAATTCAAACACGCAACTTTGCAAATCACCTTTTTATTGCGTGGGATTTCAATAAATTTTAGAAGAGTCCCTAGTTCACATGGTTGTGAAACTCAGATGTGAACCAAGTTGAACCCATGCAGCATCTTCCCATGCTAGTATCTCATGGCTTTGCCAACCACAGATGAATGAGGCTTAGAGACTTCACTGCCACCAGTCTCATGAGCAACAGATGTGTGKTTTTTTTAATGCCAAAAACTTATTCAAAGTGCTATTACATAAAGAAGTGGGGAGTGAACCATAATTATTCACCAGAAGATCAYCACAAAAGTCTAAGACCTTTCAACTAGAGAAAAGTTTAAAGATGAAAAAGAAGGTGTCAGCCTCTACAGTTTTAGGAGTTTCSTATGAAGACAGAGCCCTGAAACAGTTCCAGAACCAGCTCCCACCTAAACATTTCAGACTTTCTTCCAGTAGCTGCACTAAAAGCAAAGTTGAGAGGCTTATCCCATAGCATAGAAATTAACATTTCTACTCAAGGGTAAGTCTATATTGAAGGCCTGACAGCAGTTTCACATTACAGTGTTCTTCCTCAGGAAGACAGGTAATAGTCCTCTCAACAGGGAGGAAACATTGATGATAATTTCCCATTGCTGGCTACATGATGGATTGGGAGCAGAATGRGAATTAACCCACACCAAAAAGTGAGGGTCTCCCATGTGGCCACTTAAGTGTTCGGGTACAAGACAGCTCCTCCTTCAAAAAGGATGCTGGCAACTTTACTATCCAAATCTAGTTGGGGAAATGGCAAGAAGCAGAGATGTTTGTTTCTCTGTTATGTCACAACAAATAAAAGCCTACATGCTATTTATCAACACTGACAGTTTTTGTTCTATGCTAGAAATCTACCTGTCAAGATAGCATGCAGCACTGCTCACTGAGCATTACATMCACACGTCCCCCTTCTAGTCATTCTCACGCTTGAGTATATTCATTTCCCAGCAGCTCCAAGGGCCAGCAGTACTTACAGGTGCTTTTTAACTAATCAGTAGCTCACCGTTTTCGGTAGCTTCTGTATTCATTGTTTCTACATCTGCAGCATCACGCATCTCTTCATCCTCATCATCTTCCTCTTCCTCACCTTGGAGTTCTTTTGCAATGAGCTGCCTTGCCAGTTTGATGTTTCTTCCTTCATTGTAGTGCATTTTTCTCTTCATTTCAAACTGTTTCTTTTTCTCTGTGGACAGACAAATGGAAGTACTTATTCCCTCCCTTTAAAAAAAATCAACTTATGTCTTCTTCAAAGAGAAACTCACTGAATTAAAATTACTGTCTTCAAGCAGTGGAGTGTTCTTTTAAAATGAGCCTGACTTATAAAAAGCATAGTAATTGATGTACTGGAATCTCTGAAGCACTTTTAAAAGAACCTGCTTGCAACTAAGAGCAAGCCTGAACCATGAGAAGCACCTGGTAAAAGTACACAAAACTCCAACGCTTCACAAGCCTTGTTTCTAAGTAAACTCAAGGACAAACTGAGACATACTGCTGGGATAGAAGATGAACTTTTGCAGATGTGTGGCTTGACTCCTGGCTAGCTACCAAAGGTCAGTTATGAGAGATATATTTACCACATGTAGMAGAAAATATTTTCCACTTTCCCCATGGCCTGAAGCCAACTCTGCTCCATATATTAAACATTAACATATCCAGCAGTAAGCATTATAATGAAAATAAACTTTTATTACTSGCACTCCCAATACTTTGTTCTTTTCTTTCCTTTCACATAGCAAAGTTACACGCTCAAAACTGGGGCCAGGAAATTTGAGAAGCACCAGCTAGATAACACAAGCCTGAAACCTTAGAAGTATTATTGTTTGACTGTTCCCTCAAAACATTCTAGTCCAAGTTAACATGAAACAACATATCTGTCAAAGAAACTATTTGTTTTGGAGTAACTGTGGACTTCCTACTGCATCCATCTACATTTGCTTCAAGAACAACAGAAATATCTGTACATTTGCRAGCAATAAGTAGCATCTTATTTGCAATGATACTCACTGAATTAAGTCTACCAGAAATATGTTCAGATTAAGAACTACTCCTTCACCCCCAAACCACAAGTTCTTATTTGAGGTGTCTTAGCAGGAATTCTCACACTTTAAGCTTGTATACAGGGAGGCAGCCARCATCAGCAAATTCCTGTTTATATGTAGATCCCAAACCAAACATTCCTGATCAGAAACAAGCAGCATATTTGTTCAAACACTATTTATCTCCATTTTCAAATCACAACATTTTTTTGATAGTACTTTTTATTCCAAAATATTTTTTACTGAAAAATTGAAACTCTTTATAGGAAAAGAGTCTGAACAAAAGAAAGAAAACTTATGCCTACCCCGTTCTTCAGGTGTTAATTCTTCATCRTCTTCCTCCTCCTCACTACTTTCTTCTTGCCTTGCTATAATCCTGGGTCCTCTACCTTCAGCTGCAGCAGCCAGTCTACACAAATCATGCAATACAAAATGTAGAAACAGCAAATTTTTCACTATTTYAAATACATGGCCTTTCAGAACTCTCATATGAACCACCTTGTTCATTATTTTTGCCATATTTATATGTGGCAACAACCTGCAAGAGATTTAAATTACCAGTAGCAATATCAAATACTGAAAGCCACTTATTTGACAAYAGCAAAAATACAGCTTCTAGAGGAATCAGCAACAACTTTCCATAAAGAAAATCTRCCCCAAGAAAGAGCAGATTATCTTAACATTTAGTCAATTTTTTATTACCATACTTACTTTTTACTCAACACATCTGCTCTTAAGGGCTCGTATTCTGAATCACTCACTGCATCCTCATCATCTTCTCCTATCATGCTTGGAGGGCAAACAAAAAGTAGCTTTTTTTAGTAATTTGCTGTTTGTAATTTGCTCAAGAAAACAATCAAAACCTTACAACACTCAATTAAGAGACTCATTTAATGCTTTAAAAGCTTTCCAAATGTACTTTAAATATTGATATGACCACATTATATTCTARTACTGAAAAAAATAAAATCAATATGAGTCAGATTTATTTATTCCATTCAAAGCCTAAAGCCTGCTAGACACAAACCTTCTAAACTTTATCATTTACACTTTGTCCTTTCAAACTGTTCTCCTTATTTAGAAGCTTTGTAAATCTGAGTATGTTGCATACACCCCGATGGCTTGCACAGTAATACTACATCAACCATAAAGTAAATTTTGCTCTAAAYCCACAATTCCATCTGGCAGCACTCAGGACAACACTTTAGCAAGTATACCTGTGGTAAGGAGTACTTGGCTCATCAATTTTCATCAAGCCATAATCTTTGCCCGCAGGGTGGTATGTAGCTATGATGTTCATTTCATCCCATTTCTGTGATTTTTTACTGAAATAAGAAAAGACAGTTAATTTCTTTTATATTCTAAAATAATTAGTTCTGCTTTACCAGAGAGGGAATTTTTAAAACATCATCTGATCTCTACTACATACTATGGACAAAAAAATACCGTTATGACACACGTGTTCAGAGCATGAGTATTAAATACTGTTCTATACATACTTCAGTCATGACAAATTGCCAGTGCAACTTAATTTCCCTAACARGTCACAACAGCTAAATAAACTCAATGATCTATAAACATATTCATGTAATTCAGAGACTCCTGGTCTTGTTTAATGACTTTCTTGTGAATGGTTTGATTTTATAGTAACTTAAAAAGAGAGAATTATTCCCCTTATTACAACCCACAAGACTCCGACAGAACCTGATACCTTCCAGTTTACCTCTGCTGAGGGAACTGGAATGATTATTAGCAAAACTGTTACACAAACAACAGCAACAAACAAATCCCCTCCTGCAGTGAAATAAGTAGCACAGAACAAGCTGGTTATTAATACTGCTTTTGTCATCTAAATTTGAATCATAAGCCAACTGATTCACTGCTATAATTAAGCTGAGGGAGTTTCRCATTTTATTCAGACAGGCATCAGTGATGCCAAATTATTGAGRACTTTCTCAGTCAACCAGAAAATGTATCATTTTATGTATATTTTTGAAGAAACTAAAGCTCACCCACACTGACTGCTGACAAAATACTTAAGCCATAAGGAAAGCAACTGCCTTTTGGTCAGAGGAAGAGCCATCCCTTCACTGATCTAAAAACCACAACAAAATGTTTAATCAACACAAACCACCATGTTCCACATTTTCTCTAAAAAGGTTTATTGCAAGCTTCATATAAGGTGGTCTTTCCCTTAGACTAAACTAAGAAATTTAATTTTAGAATAAAGTAATAATAATAAAATAATTCCACAATTTAATATTACCTTACAAACGAATTCATTCTTGTTGCAAATTTTAAGTTAAGGAAGCAAGCATTACAGGACTTTGTGGGTTTTGTGGGGGGTTTTGTTTGGTTTGGGGGAGTTGTTGTTTGGGTTTTTTGGGGGGTGATTGGGCAGTTGGCTGGAAGACTTCCACTTAACTGCTCTTGTTCAAACAGAGACCGCTACAATGACAAATCTGAAAGACATATTCAATCTCAATAACACAACTGCTCTTGATCAGAATACTGTCTGTAAAACAAAATTGATAAAGCTAAATTCCAAGCACAAACTACATTCTACATTTACAGGATCACTGCATAATACAGTGTGGGAGAAAAAAATAGATGTGGGGGTTGATGCTGAATCCTACATGCCACAGGCTTACACTCCAGAAATTAATACAAATTGAGTGATCTTAATCCCCTCAGCATACAGTAACAAGTGCCAAGGTCTCATGTTCGAGGCTTCAGGTCCATTTAATCATTTTGTGCAAACACAAGGATTGCAGCATAAGCGGACAACACGTGAGCTGGATCGTGGCTCTGGCAGGGCRGGGAGTCATGAGCTTCTGATGACAAAGCAAGAGCTCCAGTCTAGGAACGGCACTCATTCAAAGCAGCCTGGCTAGGAGTCGAAAAATCCCCAGTTGTACACAGCCTAAAGTTCATCCGTGACCAACATAAGATGTTCACTCGGTTGCACAGTGAGGATTTTTACCAGCCAGAGCACTTGGACAATGGCACACAGCCCACAAAAAGAGACAGAGCTCAGCTGACGAGGAAATACAACAGATGGGAGAAATTCCCATCACATGCTTTGTGTTCACTTGCCCAGAGCACATCAAGGTTTATAGCCCAGGCTTACAACTCCACCTAATAATAAYACTGGCAATCTTGGAACAATCCCTCTGGCATGCCCTGTGCTGTAAATCAGACAGCCCACAGTGAGCAAGTCRGTGAGTCATCTATAAAAGACTGAATGAGTTTTTAGTGGCTTAATTTTTCCCAGTAATTTTTTTAAACTCAGATTCCAACATTAAAAGCCTTGGCTGTGAAATACTTCCCAAAGTACAACTTAAATTTCACCTAGGGGATAAATGTCATTAGTGACCAAGAGACAAACATGTCATTTCACCCCTGCTTGTAAAACACCATCAGAGGAGAGTGACTAAGTGTTCTAAAAACCCACACCTCCCTTGTTTGTTTCCAATTTTGCATGCTTAGGCATGTCTGCACAGCACAACACTAATGACAGAGCTTAGGACCMTCACAGGGAAATGCATCCTGACACCCCCTTCAGATGTAGAAATAGGAAATCTAATCTTCCTCAGGAAATTCAGATTTGAAAAATCTCTGAARTGCTCATTTATATTTTCTCACATCTTTAAGAATACATAATAACTTCATTTGATACCACACCAGGTGGAGTGGACAGGCAAGAAGTTTCAGCAGCAGTAAGAGCCACAGCTGCTTGTGCACACACAGACACATACRCACTACCATAATTCCTTTGTAAAATATCACATCCCATCATCCACAGGCCCTTACAGGAGGTCTGAAGGCAAAAATTACTGTACCCCAGGAATGCCAAGAACATATCTGCCATTAAACCACARTCTCAGCTCTTAGGATGCAGTTCCGTTGGTGTCCCAATTTCTCAAGCTTCTCTCTTGCATAATATTTTCATTAAGGAAGTTTTCCAAACAATGTTGCCATCACTAGAAGCAGCACAAGGTCAGAGCTCTATTGAACATGGTGCTTCAAAAGATGACTGCTGACACAATGGGCTCTTTCATCTACAGATATTTTYAAAGATATTCAGAGCTGAATTTCAATATTAGAAATAAGCAAAAGAATTAAGAAATTAGATACCTGAATTTATTAACTAAACTTTAATCTCAAAGGAAAATCACAACTATACTACWTATARTTCTTCTAAAAACAAACTTGTTTTGCTGAAATCAGAAATAACACTGATACAATGATGCATTGCCAACCAAAAATAATACTTGCACACAAACTAGCTTTAAATACCTGGTCCTGATCTTTCCAGGAAATCTTCTAATGCAGCCTGCCAGGTTTAGCCAGTATCTTTTAACTTGCAAGGCAATTTCAGAATTAATGTAATTGACTTCACTGGCTCACATTGGTAAACAGGAAACAGAAGATGGACTTCAGCCCACTAACTGCTTCCCAAGAAATTAGTGTGTGCAATAATCAATATACCATACACTCATCAGTCATACTTCAATTTCTACTCAATTTTCAAGATGGTACAAAAGAAACTGCATTAAATGAAATAGAGGCTACCAACAGCCAGATGTACTTTATGTCTGGCATGGTACTAAAYGCACTGAGCCACATAATATTAAAAGTAAAGAAAAGGAAAAGAACAAAATCACATTTGTGTAACAAATTGCTACTTACACTCACCTGCTTCAAAAACATAATTTCATTCATTCARTAGCAATTTTTCTCTGGAAAGCACGAGCAGCTAACACAAGCAACACTGCAAACCAAAGCCTCTTCTTTCTTACCTTGCTGACTTTAGACTATATTCATGACTTAACTAGGCAAAGAGGAAAGGAATATTACCATAACAGAAAAAAAAAAAAACCCTCAGCGTGACCATTTCATTTCATCACAAATTCTCTGCTTGGAACACTGAGTGAGGTGCCAAAAAAAGAGAGCTGTCGAAAGCAAATTTGTGAATACAGAGTTCAAGTAAAACGTTGCTCATCGTAACTTAATGGAGAATCGGAGCAACGGCAGGCAGCACGTGCTGGGTACATCAGGAGCAGTGCAGGAATTCTTACCCATCAACGACAGTTGCTGGCCAGCTAAAGGCGATTTTTTGCGCATTTGGACTAACTTGGCGTGTTACAATTAAACCAAGATTCTCATGTCATTCATATCCCAAGCCACACGGCTGTGCACATTCTCAAGTGTAASATCTTTACGGATAGATCCTGCCCAGCCGAGAATACATCTTGATGTTTCAGCTCAGGAGCGGTCCCCTGTCCAGGGACGCGCTTCTGGTGACAAGAAATGAGCTGCCTATGAGAAGGCTGAGAATAAATCAAGCGCATTTCCCAAACTGTGAACTATCCTCGCAGCATCTGTAAAACCCTTTGTGAGCTGCCGCACTTGGCAGGTGACTGCCACTSCTCGGCAGGAGCCACGGCGACAGCTCCAGCCGAGGTTTTGAGGGCAGCGCTCCCCACCCCTGCTCCCACAACCTCGGCAGGTGCTCCCCCGGCCGAGCTCCGGGCCCCGCCGCACGGACCCCCGCTCCGTCCACAGAGCTTCCCCCCAGGCACGGGGCATCGCAGGAGCCGCGGCTGGACACGCCGCCCGGCTGACCCGGCTCCGCGGGCCCCACGAAGGAACGGGACGGCTGGAGGGAGGCCCTGCGGGGACCCACCACCGCCACCGCCCACCACCGGGGCCTCACCCGTGCTCGTCCTCTTCGCAGGCCTGGCTGGTTTGTCGCGCCCCAACGGCCGCTCCTGGYGATGCCTTGCTACCGCTCTTCTTCAGGATGCCCTTGATGGGCCCCCGCCCGGACGCCGAGGCGTCCGGTACCGAGGGCACGGAGGGCGCTTCCATGGCCGCGCCGCCCGCCCGGTTCCGCCGCGGCCGCCGCCACCGCCCCGGCC